CCCCGCTTTCCCACCCCACCCCCAGAATATGCTGTGCCTCTCCTTCAATGAAAGGTGGCTTCTTACAGGCACTGTCACCACTGCAGTTGACTCTTTGGTATGACAACATATTAAAGGCAAGGGGGGTAAGTGAGAAGGAGAAAGGATAGAGAAAGGCAAGGAGAGAAGGCGCTGGAAGACGTGGGCGGGACCAATCACAGGGAGCTCCCCTGAGCCCACCTGCCTTTGAGACTTGGTTCGGCCACTTACAACCTGGGTGGTCTTGAGAATCGCTGCATTTTCTCTGCTGCGAGCTATGACTAAGAGTGCCCGCTTCCAGGAGGTACCAGCAGCATTCAACGGGTTAACTCAAACAGAAAGACCTTTGAATAGTATCGGCGCAGAGTGAACTCTCAATGTTTCTGAGAAGTTTAATTTTAATTTTTTAATCACAGTTTTCTTTCCATCTTATTTTGCATTAGTTTCAGGCATACAGCATAGTGGTCAGACAACCACATCGCTCACACTGTCCCTGCCCCGGTATTCCAGTGGTCACCTGGCATTATTATTGACGATGTTCCTTGTGCTGTGCTTTGCATCCCCGGGACTATTTTCTGGCTCCCAATTTGCACTTCCTAATCCCTTCACCTCTTTTTCCCAGTCTCCCAGGCAGGCTTCCTCCCCATTCGGCAACCACCAGGTCTCTCTCTGTGCCTATGTAAACTCTCAATACTTGTTGGTTATTATTATTATCCTTTATCTTTTTAATCTTTGTACCCACAGTGTAAACAGAATTGTCCCATGATTAGATCAAATATGTGGGGGGGAAACCCTGTGGTGTGTTTGCTGGGCCCTATTTCCTGGTGATAATCTGCCCCTGGTTGAATGTGTAGCTCTACATACAAGGCTGCCTGGATTCTGGTCTAGAGGAGGGCCAGGCTCAGTGTGATTTCAGACAAGCTCGGCTAAAATAGGACTCTGGCCAAGAGAGTTCAGTGAAATGGAGAGAGAGACTCTGTGGGGTCATCCCATCAAGAGACTCAGCTTCAATATTCTGCTTCGAAGGGAAAGTCCTCCAAATGAGAGAAACTATGGAGAGAGCAAGCACAAAGAAAAATATGTCAATATTAAACTCTGGTTCAAAAGGCATTCTTCTCTGGTATATCCTGTGGTCTTTGTGCTCTCTCAGTCTCCCCCACAAAATTCTGTAAGAACACAAAGGAGGCCCCACCTTGAACTTCCATCAAATTGATGTGGTGGGTGTGCTAGGAACCGGGCACAGAATAAACTCATAATAATAGCTAATATTAAGCCTCTCCTCACTCATCCTGCTCCAGCCCCAGTGGCCTCCTTACTCAACTCCTTTAAACACAGTTCCACCTCAGGGCCTTTGCACTTGGGGTTCTCACTGCCCACTATGCTATTCCCCCAGACATCCACACGGTTCATCCCTCACCTCCTCCAGGTTTCTGTTCAACTGGTATCTTATCAGCAAAGTTTCCCCTGATCCATCCTATTTAAAGTATCAATCCCAGCCTGGCTAGTGTTGCTCAGTGGTTGGGCATTGACTTTTGAACCAGGAGGTCACGACTTGATTCCTGATCAGGGCACGATTTGATTCCTGGGTTGCAGGCTCGACCACTAAATGTTCACAGCACGGGAGTACCAGAAGGCAATGAGAGAGAGCAAGGAATTAAAAACCTATTTGAATTGCAGGAGGCAGCCAATCAATGATTATCTTTCTTCATTGATGTTTCTACCTCTCTCTCTCTCGTTGCCATAACATTGTTCACTGTAATAAAAATATATTTTTTTAAAAAGGAGTTGTTTG